TCTAGTACTATGCTATGTCGCATGTCAAACGTGCGCTTTTTGATTTAGGAAATAATAACTTAAGTTGTTAACTTAAAATTTGAATAAAAATAAATTTATTTTTTGATGTTTATAAGAAGCTTTATGATAACGTCAAGTTATTTTTTCTCTTTGAGTTTCTCTAATTTTTATTTTACAGCTATTGTTAGTTTGAGTACAACTTTTTCAAAATTTATTGAAAATGTGCAAAAGTTATAAAAAATATTGAAAAGCCCAAACAAACCAATAACTAAGATATAAATTGCTTAAACCAACAACAACGGGAAAATAATTTTCGAAAAAAAAGAAGCCAACAATGCTATTTGAATCAAAGTCTAATAATTTCTAATCTAAAATATTGTTAATTTTTATTTTTTAAAATTTTTTTCCCTTAACTTTTAGTTTAAGGACATTTATATCTTCAAAACTTTTCTGTTAACTTTAAAGGTTATTAACCGTTTTAATTTTTGTCCAAAAAGCATTTAGTTTAATAGTTTACTCTTCAAAGTTTTCTAGAAGTTTCCGGGCCATTTTACTCTTAAACAAAATTTTTATTATTGTGATGTATTCATAAATCATCTTGTGATGTATGCATGCGCCCATATTTCTTTACATTAAACTTTTGCACCTGAAAAGAAAGTGAAACCCTAAAATTGAAAATATATTTAAATTTTATATTTCTATAAGAATCCCATAATCATATTCCATTAGGTGAACAAGAGTTAATAAAAACTAATCATATAATTAAACTGAGGTGTAAAAGGAAAACTTACTTATTTTTATAGTTGCATATTTTCAATCACTTGGAGGGTGGTTTAGTTGCATCGATCACTGTTGATCCAACCATTAAATTCAAATCCAGAGAAGTAGCAAAACTCCTAGATTGCCAATCATGTGCGGCAGAAACGCCATAGGATGGTTGTTCATCATTACAACAGTCATTTCCATTGAGTGTTAGCCTTCTCTTTAAAAAATGAAAGATCTATTGGATTCTCCCATTTGTTTTCAAAATCTTGAGGGTACAATAGACGAACTCCACACTTTTTCACCTTACAACCTTCTATAATTACTTCATAGGAATTAGTAACATAGAAACGGATGGTGGCCATATCTCCAGAATGATTCCCACATACATTAAAAACTTCACGAGTACACATAACACAATCAAACCCCAAGAATACATGATCTGACTTTATGTAGTGAGTTCTATCACCTTCGAAACAACCTTGTATAGACCCAATTGCAGCAGTATTGTAGTGACCATCAAGTCCTTTGATACGCAACTCACAGATAACAAAGAAAGGTTGGCCCAAATCTAACAAAGCTGGGAATTCTACAATGATGCAGAAAGCAAAACCGGCAAATTTATGATGGAATGAGCGTGGTAGTAATTCTATATAATAACTAGCATTTTGAAAGCTAAGTGTTAGAGTCATGAAAGTGACTCTATTTTGTTGATAAAAAGATCCCATATGTAATTGAATTGAAGTTATATTGAGACAATTCAGAGAAATTATGAATTTATGTATAAAAATCATATTTTGAGTTTTTCTTACTAATTTGGCATGTTTGGATTGAAATTTGAGATTGTGTAAGTTGATATTAGGATGTGATTTATTTTCTAGGGTTGATGCTGTCTCATTTATGCCATTCAGGGGTCAAATTGTCATAATCTTGGGGTTGATTTTGTCACTTTCAAACATGTAGGGACTAAATAGTAATTTACCAAATTTTATATAAAACTGCAGTTCATGGTCACAGATTGGGTGGCTGCCGCCCACCAAAACCCTTCATCTTCTCTGATCAAGCTCCGGCGACCCTTCATCTCCTTTTTTGGTGACCTCTCGGCTTTCCCTTGCTTCGGTCACCATCATCCCGTCATCACCACTGTGGTAACGCATCCCCACTGCAAATCACGCGACGTTTTCCGGTGATGCTTCGCATTCCAGCCATGTTGGGCCATTTTCTGGTGACGGTTGGACTCCCCAAGACTTGATCTTCCTTACCACGGCTGGATCTACCCATTCCGAGCTCCAGCCACCACAAAAACCGTCGGAATCCGCCATCTAGCCGTCGCACCTCTTCATCTTCCAACTTAGATCTTGCTCATTTCTAGATACCTTTCACCTCTCCAGGACCTGATCTGAACTCCCCATCATCAGATCTTTCCATCGGTACCTTCAGATCCTATTTCCACCACTATTTTTTGGCGAGTGCGACTGTTCGCATTCCGGGCTGTTCGTTGGTCATTTTCGCCCCTTCTTCGCATCATATCGATGTCGGTTACCTCCTCTTCGCCATGATCAGCTTCGTTTCCACCGTTTCAGCCTTCGTCATCACCACCATGAGCGGCTAAGTTCCCGATTGTCTATTACGGTGTAGGCGAGATCGAGATTGACTCCATTGATCTCCTCATCAGCTCTCGACTAGTTGGATGAGCCCGAATGTTGGACATTTGGTTAAGTTTCTTGTATTCAAATTATATTTGTTTTCGTTTCATTTTGTTTGCGATGCTTTAATATTATTCTGATGCTCGACGTGTTGAATTGATAATGTCCATTGAGAACGTTTACTGATATATAACTTTTCGCATAATTGAATGTCGGTTTGAGATTATTGAATGTTGATTATGACTTTAAATTGCTTCGGTACTGATTGCAATCAAGTTGTAGTAGCGTTTAATATCATTTCTACTAGGAATGCATTTATTGTGTAATTAGTTGATTGGACCTGTTAACGTTGTATCAACTAGTGGTGTTTAAGGGTTTAGCATTTTTCGGTTAGTCAATGATAGTCTTTAACCAATCTATCTGTAACTAAAACAACGGAGAGACAAGATAGATTATGCCTAGATTGTTGGGAGATATTTCTATTGATTTGCCTAGCCTTGTAGGTTTAGAAAATTGAAGAGCGAGAGAGGAATTGTGAGAGTTGGTCTTGAATCAAACTGAACCCGTAGCGACAATGCTTTTAATATTGTGTTTTAGTTAGCAATTTATTTGATGCTTTTTAATTTCCTGCAAGTAATTAGTTTCCTTAGTTTTAATCAATCATTTTGCTAATTTCTCTTTCGTTAACTCAAATATACATTAGGTCGTTAGTCTTTCTCTCTGTGGATTCGACCCTGCTTACCGCTAACTACAGTATTTAGGTTTAATTTTGTGACCGTGACGACCGTTTCGACACTAAGCCACTCTAGAATTTCACTTCTTGGGAAACTCATACTACCTTTTGGATTCACACAGTTCATCTGCAATAAGAAAATCTAGCATTGTTAATTTAACATCAATTTTTTATTCAACAAAAATTAAAATTAAAATTGACTTTGAATGATAGGAGAGAGACCTCTTCAAATTCTAAGCATAAAATTGTATTTTGCTAAAAATTTAGTAGAGCATTTTTCAAAATTTCTCTGAGTGCATTCCTTTTCAATTTCCAATATCGTGCTTCTAGACACTCTAAATCAAGTGGACAATTTGACATGAAACGAGGCCTATTAAAAACAAATTAAGTCAAGCAAACATCAAAAACAACATTTGACATAAAATTTGATATAAAATTTGATCTCAAATGACTTCAGAATGTCACGTAAAATTATGTACCACATGAGATGAAAAAATTTAGTACTAATTGATATATATATAATTTCATTTTATTAGACAAAATAAATTAAAAGAATTGAAAACATTATTGAGTTGAAAATAAATCTTGATTATTTACCTTAAGCTGCATATACCATCAATGGAGTTTGAAATTTGCAATATATTGGATTGTAATTCATCTTTCTCTTTCTCTTTCCCGTTCTTTTTAGCATTGTCAACACTTCTTTTGGATGTTTCCAATGGTTCTCCATAATCTCCAACATACAAGAAATGAATCCCACACTTTTTCATCTCTCTCCCTTCAGCATGAAATTTGATAAGCACTTTACAATTTAATGACTTCATCTCAGAAGAAATTTCATGATATTCTCCATTACACTCTTCAAACGCCTTTTTCGTTATAGAATGAAAAGTGAATAGTACATGATCTGACCAGATATCATCCGAACAAAATCTATCGAAGAGATAATCATGATCATCCCAAAATCCAATGTAATTTTTATAAATTTGCTCCTTACCATCTTCACTTTTGACCAAGCAGTAACAGGTAGCATAGTAATTTCGCCAAATATTGAAATTTTCTCTACAAACAACAGCAGATGAAAGAAAACCTAGAAAGTTTTTATTATGCCAATCTAGTGACTGATCAAGAGTTATATAAGATCCCGTATTTTGAAAGGTAAACCACTTTGGAATTTCATTTCCAAGTAAACAAATATTAGCACAAAATTCTCGACAAGATTCCTGTAACAATGAAAATGAAAATCATCCCATCATAGCATGGTTTTAACTTTAGATTTTATTTTTTCTTTACTATTACTTTTAAAAAAACAACTAACATCATACAAAACAAAAAGAGAGAGAGAGAGAGAGACAAGATCAAAAGAGATACCTCATGAAGAATTTTAGTTAATCCAATTTAAAACAATTGGTAACAATAGAAATGAGGATCTAATATTGATTGCAAGGATGAACAGTCAGATGCTACCACATTTACACCCGTTGGAAGCTCTGGCAAAACTTGAAGTCTCCGACAATTACTTATGTCTAGGAAGTACAACTTAGAAAGCCCTTTGATGTTTTCTGGTATGCTCTCAAAAAAATTTCCACTTAGATATAAGTTTTCTAGAAAAAAAAAAATGTCCAAGATTGTTAGGTAATTTGGTGATTCGACAATTATCCAAATAAAGTGATACCAAAGAGCTCAAACTTGATGAAGAATTCACTACCCAATTCAACGGTGCTTCATCACTATCTCGACTTAGGAATAAAGTATTAAGGTTTGGCAGGCGTAAAACGGATGATGGTATTTCTTTTATGACTATATCATTATTATTGAGAATCTCCAAAGCTTCTAAATCTCCAAAGTCATCGGGTAATCTTTCCAATTTGGAGCAAGCCTCAGGATTAAGCTCTTTGAGAAATTTCAACTTACAAATGTTGCTTGAGAGGCTCTCAAGTGATGAACATACTGAAAGATCCAACTCAACTAGTCTAGATGGATGTTCAATGAAGGGTGATTCTTTTATTGCAGTTCCCGTTAAATGTAATACTTCCACCTTACATGAGACCTTTGGAGCTATCTTCAGATTATCGTAGAAACTGAGATCAATAAACTTTGATTGAATGCATCTGGTAAACTAATAAGCCTTCTGCAATCTCTTAGATCTAGCGCGACAAGCTTATTGAGATTTTGAATAGAAGACAGAGTGATCTCCGACAAACTTGAACAACCTTCTAAAATCAATTTTTGAAGATTTGAGGCTCTTGAGAGATTTGGAATCTCTGTCATGTGTTTGAAGAAACTAAGATCAACATATTTCAAATTTACAAGATCCTGTAAGAAAACAAACAAAATGATCAACTCAAATTAGTGCCTTGTATTTTTATAATTTTCAACAGAAAGACCACCATACAAATACCAAAATACATACCTGAACACCATTCCAATGTTCAACTTTGTTGTCATGCATAACAAGTGTAACAAGACTCTCTGAAGGAAAACTCGATGGCAGTGATTTAAATGGGCAATTATTCCAACCGAAGAATGTTACCTCATTGGAAAAGGATTCAAGTTCTTCAAAACCATCCAACTTAGCTTCATAATTATTTTGGTATTCTGAGTTATATACTCTGAAGAATCTTAAGTTATCCATCTTTTACAAAACATGACAATTTAAACCTGCATTGCGTATTTTTTATATGTCCAAGTTTATGCTTGGTACTACTTCAATTCCCTAACAGTCAAAAGAGATGATCAATTAGCATACAAGATACAAAAGCTTAAATTAATTTCTTTAATGGTAAAAGACTCCCAATAAATCAAATTAATTAATTAAGCTAATGTTTATCAACCACCAGTGTTAGCTTAATCAAATTAATTTAAGCTTCATACATAAATTAAGATAAAAAAAACTTACTTTTTTATTAAAAATAAATTATGAATCAATTACGAACAAATAGTCTAATGAATAGAAATATTGAGCTTGCTAAAACAAATAAAGATTACGGATTTCATTATTAGAAATAAAATAAATAGGATAACAATAACAATACAATAACATAATAATAAAAACAAAAACAATAATAACAAAAACAAAAACAATAATAATATTAGTTTTTGAAAAGTAAGACTATGTATATGAAAGATAGAACATATATGATGTATTTATGCTTTCTTTGAATCAAAGACATAATTTTGATATAAACTCTGAACTAGGAAACTGAGACAATACGTGAAAGGAAATAATTAATTGTATAACAATAAACAATTTACCAAAGGAAAAAATGTAAATATAGAAGCTTGAGTTTTAAGGAAAAATAGAACATAATCTGATAGTATATAATATTTTATTTTTTGGCAAACCTCATTAGACTTTATTAGACAGAAAATAATGACAAAAAAATAATAATAATAAAAAAGATAACATGATATCTCATTAGATATTCTTAAACTAGACATTAATATAAAATTTGGATAAAAATTTAAGCTCGCTCTCGAAGCTACCTTCTTTTTTTTTAAATGCTTTGAAGATATCCATATGATGCCATAGTCAAATGTGTTTGCAAGTATCATCCTGAGAAATTTCCCTACCCATTTCTTGAATCAAATCATGCATTGTTATTTTATTGTATGTCATAGACACGAGACACTTGTCAATAAGAAATTGTATTCCTTGCTTTGCAGAAATGTCACAAGAATTTAGGATTTCTATTACCGAGTCTATATGTTCCCCTTTGAAGAAACATGCAATATCTAAAAACTCTTCTTTTTCTAGTCCATCATAACTAACTTTTAACACCCTCTGAATATCCGAAGGAGGAGCTTTTTCTAGTTTATTTATTGCACTTTCCCAAAATTCTTTTCCCTTGGAAAACAAATAGGAACCCAACACTTTTAAGAGCCAAAGGAAGAAATTTGGTATATGCAATTGCTTTGTTCAATAGCTCCATATGATCTTCAGTAGGAGAGTCTTGTTTAAAGGCATACTGATTAAAAAGTTTATGAGCTTCCTTCTCTCTCAATCCCTCAACCTTGTATATATAAGCATCATCTACTCCACAATTTCTCAACACTTGTTTATCCCTTGTTATGATAATTTGACTTTTTGAGCTCAACCAATTAAGATTTCCAATCAAATTTTATATTTGCTATAAAGATGTCACGTCATCAAAAACAATGAGAACCTTCTTATGTTAAAGTCTTTTTCTTGTGAAGGTGAGTCCTATATTGGGATCTCTATCCTCTAATATTGTGGAAAGAAGTTATTTTTGCAAGCGAGTTAATCTACTACTTTTCTCTAACTCTTCCCTAACATTTTCAGCAAAATAGGATCCTTCAAACTGACTCAAAATTTTGTTGAATACAACACGGGTAATAGTTGTCTTGCCTACACCACCTATGCCCCAAATTTCTATTATAGAAACACCATTTGATCCCTTGTGCAACAAAGACTATTCTTTTTATGGCAAATTCTATTCCAACCAGATCCATATAATCACTTGGAGACAATTTATTTATTCTCATCAATATATCATCCAAAGTATCATCTCTAAGTTTAGATTCAAACCTAGAAATCAAAAAAAAAAAAAAAAAAACTTTAATTAGTTAGAAGTACATATAAACAAATCAAAACGGATACCAAGAAAAAAAATTCATTCTAATAGCCAATATAATGAATACTAATAATTTATCAAAGAAACTAATAAATATCTCCAATTAATAAATAATTTTCTTTCTTGAAAGGAACCATTTTATTGGTTTGGTGAAAAAAACCAATAGTCAGAAAAACCAACATCTACATGTTAAAAATCTGTAGATGTGCGTGTGTGTGTGTGTTTAGGTTTTATTCAATTCAACCGTTAGCATACGTTTAATTTACTAAAAGAATTGCCAAAAGTGAAGTATTATGCAAGAGTTTAGAAATCTAAGGGAATTAAAACTTACTTTTGATCGTTTATAGTACAGCCAGCTAGACTATCTGCTTCGTTCAAAGAAATCTTCCATCTCTGCAGCATCTCTGACTTCTCCTTAGTACGTTTCTGGAACTCAGCAAATCCATCTCCAAAACTCCCAGTTTGATTCCTTACATCTGATGGATTTACGTGATAGAAAATTGGTATAATAATCTGCTCCTCTATTTTCTTGCATTGAAGGATTTGTTCGAGTTCTTGGAGACACCAAGACGCATAATTTTTTGAGAAAACGATGACTGAAATTTTTTATGCTTTAATTGTATTCAAAAGAGATGATGAAATTTCATCTCCTCTAACAATTTGGTCATCGATGTAAGTATTAATCTTTCTACGACACAAAGCCGCATAGAGATGGCTCGTGAAACCGTTGCGGGTGTCCTCGCCTCTGAAACTAAGAAAGACATCATACTCCTCTGAAGGATTGTTGGTGGAAGAGAAAGAACTAGCCATCGACATCAACTGATGAAATGCTTTTCAGTACCGTTTAAGTAGATAGGATATTAATGACATTCTTCGTCAATCAAAAAACACTTCATTAGAAATTAAATTGAAGTAATTGAAAAATTAAATAATTCATTAATATTCCTAGTAATTCTAAAAATATAATTACCATCTAAAATTTGAAAGACATGTGAATAAGTAGTTTATAAAGAGAGAAACAAAAATAAAAACAGAAAAAGAATCCAGGAAACAATAGAGGCACCACTTACCTTTTAATTAGCCTTGGAAGTTTAGATCTGACACTCTAGCTACTGGAAACAACTTTGAGACACTATAAATATCGGTAAATCTTTAACCAAATTTGACTACATATTCAGCATGCTTGAAATATAGGTGCTAATTTTTTTCATAAAATTATAAAATTAAAATAAAATCAAAGAAAAACCCAAGTATATATGTTACCGAACTAACAAATGGATCCAGATCTGAATGTTTTGCAGTGAGATGTGTAGACGTAAAAATCTACCTGTATGGAAAGGGGGGTCTGATCCCTCAAGGTTGAGGCCACTAGCGATCTGTTGTACCTGCACATGTAGAGAAACACACGAGTGAAGCGGACGAGAAACACCAGGGTGGTGTTTGCCGTAGGCACTCCGACGCTCAAGTCAGCAAGGCTGAGAGGCTAATATAGTGAGGGCTAGGGAATGAGAGATTACCAAAAGTCTAGTCGGGGACTGTGACTACGGCGAATAAGCGAGACTCTCAAGTAGAGAGCCTTGGGTGTGAAGGTGTAATGTCGATGTCCCTTGTGAGAGGGCTGGCCTCTATTTATATAGTGGTCGTCCGGTCTCCCCATCCTGGTAGAAGTAGGAGTCCTAGTATAACTCTGATACAAACCCTAGAAGAATTAGGGCTGTGGTAAGCTGTCTTACCAGTGTCTGAATAGGAAGGTGATTCTGACTAGGAGAGTAACTCCGAGTAGGAAAATGATCAGGAATAGGAAGGTGACCTTGAATGGGAGATTGATCAGGAGTAGGAAAGTGTTGAAGGGGCTATGGGCTCTGGGCTCACCCATGGGCCTAGATATTGGACAGGGCTTAAGAGGCTTGCGTCCATGTAGTCCGGGCCGATTATACTTCGTAGCAGATAGGGCTAATCCGAATTGGGCCCCTGCAAGATTGGGCCTGGTCATTCTTCATCAGTGCTCTTGTTTATCTATTTGGGCCGAGGACGATTTTTGGCCCTAACAGTTTGTCCCCCACTCTCTGAGTTGAGAGTAACTCAAGTCAGAGAGTAGGTTACGTAGAAGGCGAGCTCGGTCTCCCTTCATGGACGAACGACCGTTGAAGTGATTGCTCTGACCATTGTGGGTGATTCTCGGTCGAACCTCGCTCGGTATCTCCTCCCGACCCAAAATTTTCTATCTTTGTCCAGTCTGGTTGGTTCGGCGAGCTAAAGAGTAGGGAGCCCGATGCGATCGGTCGGTACATCCGCATGACTGGCAGGGGACTGTTAAAGAGGCATTCATTCGTCATGTTGGGTTGGACAGGTTTAAGTACTAAAGCTTCGTTCGGTCAGGATGATGGGACGACTAAGCGGGTGAGGCGTCTCGGGTGCATGTCGTCCCCTCGTTCTTTACGGACGGGTGATTGGGCGAGATTCAAATCTTGTTCCGAAGATGGTTCGACCCGGACCATTCTAACTTGTGCATCGATCGACCAGGCCTTCCGGGTCGGCTGAGCATGGGATGCTTGGGAGGGCCCCCGAACTGAAAAGTCGGTCGGGTGGATCGAGTGGCCAAGTGATTTTGTTGGCGCGTGTAAACTAGACGCGTGTCAGATTCATTCCAGGCGGTACAAATGGAGTCGGTCGGAAGGGACGGGCGATCTGGATGCAGATTCCATACAGAACAAACGATTCCCCAGGTGATTTGGATTGCTGCCACGTGTAGGGTGGTGATCTGTCTGTCGTTTCGAGAGCGGGAAAACGAAAAGACTCCTGACACCTGACTAACCACAGCCTGCCATGTGTTCACACTGCCTTTACAAAATTAGAGAATCGGCTGTTCATCTTCCATTCGCGTTGTTTTCTGGTTTTTATCTGAAAAATTTCTCTCCCCTTTTTTTCTTTGTTTTTGTCCCAGTTTCTTGAGCGAAGGTGGTCTTCTCTACAATCATCCAAGGTAATTTTTCCTTTTGAGGTCGTTTTGCTATTCTGTAGGTAGATTTCCTTTTGATGAGATTTCTGGGAAGCGGGATAAGGATGTTTTGAGTTTTTGAGTGGTTTAAACTGGGTTTCCAAGCGTTTTGGTGTTAGGATTTTGGTGAATAGGCGTGAGTTTGAATTTTCCGGTGGATATCTGGGAAGAATCTAGTCGTAGGCGAATTTTTCTGGGTTTTTTGGATTGGATTTGGAAGACGAAGTCGACTTTGGCGTTGATTGGGTCGGTCGGTACGCCTGACTGAGTGGCGAGGAGTCGTGTGGTGGATTAGGAGATCGGTCATTCAGGGCGAGTGAGTTTAGGTTGAGGGATTAGTGATCGAGGTGAGTAGACGGCTAGGATTGAATTTGGAGGTGGATCGGTCGTCTGGGGCGAACGAGTTGGTGCCCTTTTGATTTTGGCTTAGGGTCGTTCGGTTGGAGGGGTCGACCCAGGGCAAAAGCTCGTTGGGCAGGTTGACTATCGAGCTTTATCTTTCGGTCGGTCGGCTTGGTGGGACGACTGGCCAGGGTTCCACTTTAGTAGAACGGGTCGACCGAGCCTGAGGGGCCGGTTTTGAGGGCATCGTTCGGTGTTGAAGGGCGACCTGTGGTTGGCACTTAGTGCTTCAGTTTGAGCCTCCTAAGGAACGAGTCGGTTGGTTGGGACGGGCGAGTGGTTCGATGTCGGACGATACGTCCGCAGGTTCGAGTCAAGAGGTCATGCACTTTGGGGACGAGTATGAGCGTGCCCCGACTATGGTGGTAATGTCTGAAGGGAGTGTTCCGATCGACGTGCCGACCGCGATTAGTGTGGCTGCTCCAGGGTCGAGTAGAGCTGGGCCGAGTGACTCAGGTCGGTATGGTAGGAGTGGGGAAGACCCCGGAGGGGCTGATAGTCCCTCTTCATCCAGTAGTAGCTCTGAGGAAGGGCCGAGCCAGCAGGGCAGTGGGATTCTGACCAGGGATTATCCGCCCATGCTGAGGGATAGTGACGTGTGGCGTATCCGTACACTGTATCATATCCCTGGTTCTGTTAAAGTTCGGACCCCGCGGTCGTACGAGCGGGTTGATTGGGAGGCTGAAGGTTGGGTCTGCGTGTACGAGAAATGGTTTCATGATGGGCTGAGGTTGCCTGTGCCTCGCCTCGTCTGGGAGGTGCTGAATCACTTCATCATCGCCCCTTCCCAACTTATGTCGAACGCCTGGAGGCTGTTGACGGCCTTGGAGGATCTGTGTGTTCGGCATCAAATTGTGTTCGGGTTGCACAAGCTGCTGTACTCGTACTTCCTGAAAGAGAACGATAAGGAGAAGGGCCGATATTTGCTAAACTTGAGGCACGATCGGTCTCATCTGGTGATCGACCTACGGTCTAGTGATAAAAACTGGAAAGACCGCTACTTTTTCTTGAAGGGTCAGGCCATTTTCGGAGATAGGGGCATGGGCGAGATCCCGATCGGGTGGCGAGCCACTGGTGAGAACTTCGTTGTTTCTTTCGTGCTTTTGATTACTAAATCTTGATTATGTTTTTTGTTTGCAGAGCTCGATTTCAATCGCACTGGGCAGAGCGAGGACGGCTTGGACGTAGCTACCTAGAGGGTGTTAGCCATCCCATTGGAGGAGAGGGATTGGCGAGTGGTGCTGGCAGAGTCTAATCTGAGGAGCAGTATTCTTTGGGCCGGAGTAGAGGCTATTCAAAGAGGTACTCCCTTCCCCTCGCTAAAGCAGACTTGGGACGTTCTCCTAAGTCGATACTGCAATCAGTTGATTTTTGGTGAGTCCGGGCTGAACCCACTAACCGTTGGAGAGTTTGCATTCCAGAGTCACTTATGAAGAAGCTGAGCGTCCCAAGTGCGAGCGAATCCATCGTCAGGCGTCGAGAGAAGAGGAAAAGGAAAAGGGAGTCGTTGGTAAGAGCGGATGTGAGGGTTGAAGATGTATTGGCGACGCCGCCGAGTCGGCAGCCACCGAGTCAGCAGCCTTCGGCGGGAGTCGGGTCGTCCCAGGCTGCCGTTGTGGATGAGGAGGCCGGGACTATTACCATTACGATTCCGGCTACTGCGTCGACTTACTCGGACGCGACATCTATGAGTAAGCTAGCCGACTCTTTCTTGTTCCCAGCGGACGAGGCGCGTCTGAACCAGATGGGTGCGGTTGCTGCCGCTGATTGGGGTGTATCCCGCGCCGTTCAGGTATGGTAGTACTTGTTTATTTTTCTTGTTTGATTCTGTTCTCATTGTTTAGTTTTGTTGTGCAGGTACTCACTAGCAGTCTCCATCTAAGGAGGTCTGTCGTGGCGCAGGAGAAGCGGATACAGGATGTATCCAAGGCCAACGCCGGTTTACGGCAGAATGAGGCAGCATCCCGGAAGGCTGAACAGGAGAGTCAGCAGTGCCTCCGGGATAGTGAGGCTGAGGTCGAGAGACTATGGCGCGAGTTAGCCGAGAGGACCACGGAGGTCGAGTCCCTCAGGGAGCAGTGCATCTCCATTGTTGATGACGCCATCATTAAGGCCCGAGGCGAGCTTATGCTTGAGTTTAAAGAAGGGCGGACCTCTCATTGGGATCCGAATGAAGACATTCTGCTTATGCAAGAGTTATTGGAAGAGGAAACTGATCATCCGGTGGGACAGCGCGAGGAGCAGGCGCCTGAGCTTAGTCAGCCGGGTGTTAGGGACGTGAGCGACCTGGCTCTGGGGCCGAGCACTAGTGGTGCTTGCGTGGCGACTGATTTGATGGAGGATGAGACTCGTGCCGAGGATGCTTAGTGTTCTCCACCCTCGTTCTTTTTTTGTATTTTGGGGCCTGCG